TATTTAAATATATACTTACCCGCTCGTACTCTATTTAATAAAGGCACGTGGGCCCACTAACGTCGTTTGTCTTCAAAATTCATTCCTACTTCATCTCCCCGACTTAGATTAGTCATATACTTCTTCACGACTAACTTCAATCACAAATAAAATATTAAGATTTTAATATTATTTTGTTTTAAAATTTTCAACTTGTCTCGTCGGTACCCAAAATGTCTCACTTTGTCCAAGTTCACTTTAGAATTACCTTTTTATCTCACTAATTCATCCTCGGTAAAATATTATTATTTAATTATCATTTTCTCGCGTACCAAATATTTTATTCCAACATATTCCTTTAACCTATCACTGCTTTTTCGCACTTAGATTTACATCCATCAACCCTCCGTCTCGTCGATGAGATCATATTGGATTTTATACGAGGGTACGGTGTGTTACATAATCAATCAAGGTAAAATATTTTTCTTAAAACAAATGCTAGCTAGCTATGAAAGGTAAAGGAAAAATATTTTCCTAAGTGAAAAACAACAAATCAATATTGATAACTTTATTATATGGAGTTATTTTGATACATTTTGGGAGCTTAATTAGTTAGATCTTTGAGATTTAAGGTTCGGATGATGGCATTTTAGGTGTTTTTTTAATTTAAGTTTGATTACATATTGAGTAGTTAATTTAAGTTGTTATAGTTAAATTTTATGTTATTTTATTTTAAATTACTTTAAGAGTAGTATTAGTAATTTCTCTTATTGCTTTTTATAGGAAATTTGATGAAAAATGCTCATTTGATGAAAATCTGTGCAAGTATAGTGATGGCTTTATTCATATATATTGTGATATTTTAACTGTATTTCTCTGTATAGAACTCCAAATGATGTGATTCTTAAACCACTAAAACGATAAGACAAAGGGCTATATCCTTTATGTTTACCACTTTACCTAGTTATGATCAGATCATGGTCCAAATATTTATCTAAGTCGAAGCATTGCAGCAATATGTATGAACAGAACATGATGTGGCATTTGGAGCATATCTTTCAATCCCTTAGTCTAACTGATGTGATTCTTAAGCTATTGAAAAGTAAGAGATAGGGATAAAACTTTCATGTTTACTACTTTACTCAGTTCAGACCAAATCAGGGCAAAAATCATGTTCAAAGTTGATAGACCACTGTAGCGTTAAGAGAACAAGGTTGTAGTGCTGGTGAAAAGAAGCACACAATACATTTTCCCAAGAGCTTAGCACCATAGTGCTGAAGAAGTAGCACCGCAGCGTTGGGCGATTTTTCAAAAATAAAAAAATTGATGAAATTTTGAAAATTAGGTTACTTGGAGCCTATTTAAAGGGCTTTTTAAAGAGGTTTAAAGGGGGAATCAGTTACCAACTATTTCAAAGATTTGGAGACAAGAACAAAGCAAGAAAAACAAGAGAATTTGAGAGTGAATTGAGATCATAAAGCTTCAATAATTAGTTTCTTTCTCTACTTTTGTGTTTCTTTTATTTTCTTTGATTTGGATTCATAGCTAAATTTCTTTAGATGTTGTTTTTATTAGTTATTGTGAGCTAAACTATTTTTCTAGGATTGTGGTGAATTTCAACATGTAGTTTGAATATTAGTTTCTTTTTTATTTATCATGAATGGATGTAGTTTTGCTTATTTAAATCTGTTCTTAATGCTTTTGATTGTCTGGCGAACAATTAATTGATTTGCAAATCTAATTGAGACTCAACATAAAGTTTTAGATTAAACTAAGGTTTGAATAGTATATATTCATGTCACTTACGTGATCTGATTCGTGATTCGGGTAGACATACGTCAATTGCCATACATGGCCACATTAGGACACTTGCTTAATGAACTTAATTTGATTAATTCCTATAGACAAAGAGTGAACTAATTAAGTTAGGTATTTGTATTAGCACCTCAATGGAGACTTGTCTATAACTTTGGATTCTAGGTTAGTAAAGCCATTCAGGAAAGATAAATAACAAGAAAAGCTAGTATTGTATAAAATGTTGAATGATCCCATAATCTTAGGTCTTTAATATACTACTTTTCTTAACTTACTTAGTTTGTTAGTGAATTTAGTGTTTATTTTAATTTTATTTTAATTAATTTTTTGTAAATTTTGATTACTTAAATAAGATTTATTTGTTATAAGATTTTGGTAGTTAGTAAAAATTCAAGAACAAATCCCTGTGGGATACGATTATGAACTTAATATCCATATTACTTGTTCGATACGTATACTTGTGTGTACAAAATTGGCAACAAGTTTTTGGTACCGTTGTTAAGGATTTTGTTTTCTTTGCTATTTGCTAATGTTGAAATTTTATAGATTAGTCTTAATTTAAGTTTATTTTTTGTTTTGCAGTTGTGTTCAATTGTTATATGAGAGGAGCAAACAAGTTGGAGACTGTCCCCGTGTGATCC